AGCATTTAGCTCTTCAATTGTCATACAATGTAAATCAAATGCTGTACCCTTAGGTTTTATCAAGTGAGAGGTTGAGAGCTAGATCAAAAATATGAGGAGCAATGATTTAGTATGAAAGGAATAGACTCTAATACAGTTAAACAAAAGACAGGCAGAAATCAGAACTAAAAAACGTAAAGAGAAAGCTGTGAAGCAGTAAATGAAGTTTGTAAAATAGTCCAAAGGGAATGGGAAGATGCAAATTGGTAGCACTGAAGTCTTAAAGGAAAAACACCTCACTGAAAGCCACGAATGGTGAAATTCAATCCATGAATAAGTTTGGAGTATTAGACTCTTTCCTCCCATTTCATACAAAGTATGCATTTTTAAACTGAGGTATAACATATAGAGTACGGTGCACAAATCTTAAGTGGACGGCTTGATGAATGTTTACTTATGCACACTTCCGGGTACCCAGCAACCAGATTAAGATACAGAACACCTTCGGGGCTTCCTCCTCCACCGACCATGAACTGAGCACCATTGATCAATTCTGTCCGTTTCTGTCTGCAATGATACAGACAGAATGTACTCTCCTGTGTTGGCTTTCTTCACTCAGCCTCAAAATTCTGAAATACATCCATATTTTTGTGGGCATCAGTAGTGTGCTCCTTTTTACTGCTGAGTAGTACTCCACTGCACGAATATACTAGAACTCTGCCGGTCCGTTCTCCTGTTGATGGACATTCAGGTTGTTTTTGATCTTCCGCTCTTACGGATAAAGCTGCCATGTGTGAGCATTCTTGTACAAGTCTTTTGTGGACATACACACTCACTTCTCCTGGATACATGCCTAGACCAGACTGCTAAATTACAAGCCAGGCGTGTGTTTATAGTAGATCACGCCAGCGCTCTAAAGTGATCGTATCAATTTACTCTCTGATTAACAATGTCAGAGAGTACTCCTATGAAGTTTTTAAATTTAAAAAAGTTCTTTATTGAAACACAAGAGTTTTGAGACTTTTTTTGTTTTGTTTTGTCTGTACTTCCTCATTTGAGAGCAGGGGTAACATAAGCAGAGTGCTCATACCTCGGGGAATGTGCAAGATGACGGGGGTGGGGGAAGGTGTGAGAAGAAAATAGTACAAACTTCTATTTTAGTTTCTTATTCGTCTACCCAAAAAGTTAAGTTTTACTAATACTTAATACATAAGTTGATCCTGGTGTCCTTATTCGGATGGTTATATTTACTCACCTTGGGCCTACTATGCTTTACTGCCATTTGAGTGACTGGTTGAGCAAAGTTATGGAATATTCCCTTCTAACTGAACTCTGGCCAAATGAACAAGTGGCTGAAAGGAGTTCTCTAAAGATAATACTAATAATACGAGGACAAGCAAACAAGGAAATGGCCGAGCTGACAGTTCTGTCATAGAAAATCTCTTTAGAAGATAAAAACTGTGACTAGCTAGTCAGATCTCCCAAGAAACAGGCAAAAAATGTTCTAAAAATTAATATTTTAAAAAATATAGACAATCTATTACTCTTAATATTTTGCTAATAAGAATTTTAAAACGTAAATTATTTATATCATTTGTCACCCCCTTTAGTTTCTCTTGTTTTTATTTTATAATGTATATAATAGTACAAAGTACATGTATACATAAAGTAAATTTACACAATTTTTTTTTTTACCAATAGGTTACACAATCAAAAGGGTTCAGAGACTCATTTTAGCCTGTTTTTAATATTAAGTTAGTTAATCCTTGGGTACAAATGAACTTGTAATTTTTAAGTCACGTACAATAAAGTATACTCCACTAGAAACAGCTATCTGGCTACTGAATGTTAATACATCTGAACTGGGAGGAAGACAATTAACTGGGAAGAGACATGAGGGAACTTTCATGGGTACTAATACTATACTGTATCTTGAACAGGTCTGGACTATACCAGTGTACACATCTGTCAAGCTCGCTGAAAGGTACATTTAAGTGTGTTCAGTTTATGTAAATTTTACATAAAAAGGCAAAAAAAAAAAAGGATCTATAAAAAATATTGACCTCTAGTTAACGATAATGCATGCTGAAGTATCTAGGAGTAAATTATACTGATGTCGGCAACTTACTTTAAAATGCATTAAAATAAGATGGACTGCTGTATAAATAGAGCCATGGGTACATGAATAATATGATAAAGCAAGTACAGTAAATGTTACTTAATAGAATTTGGGTGGTAGATACAAGGGTGTACAATTCTTTTAACTTTTCTGTATGTTTGAAATTACTCATAGTAAAATGTTGGAAAAAATAATCAATCTACTCATAAGCTGAAAATTAAAAGCAGCGTAGTGATATAGGCCAGAAATTCAAGCTAGAAATCCAGAAAGGAAAAAAAGGCAAGAACATTCAACCGCCACTGCTTGATGCTTTTACATTCACTAAATCCGTGAGGGGATAATTAGGTCCATTTCACGAACTAAAACTTAGAAAGATTACAGAATACGCCTAAGGTCACAGGGTATGAAACCCAGCCAAAAGCTGAATCTAACCTGACCCTTCTACTAGATGCCTGAGTCCTCACGAGGGGCTGCCTAGAACCCAACCTCTTCTCCATCCAAGCACCAACCACCTGATAGAAACCTCCCTACAGTCTGAACCCCCATCTGTCTCCCCAAGTTTCCCTCCTGGTCTGATCCCTTCGGGCCATATAGACTCTAATCCCTACATGACTGGCCTTCATGGCAAGTGAGAGAATTTCAGTAAGTAGGATTTTTTTCCAGTTAGTGTTTTATAACATCATCTACAAAGCTATAACCAGGTATAAAGTGGGGATAATGCCTCACAGAATTGGAGTAGAAATAAAATGAGAACATAGTGAAAGGTACAGCACAGTAACTAACAGAATAGGGGCTCAAATATCTTTTTTCTAACCTTTCCCTTCCCTTGGAAATGATAACATGCCACTCACTATAAAATAATACCTTTTTTAATTAAAAAAAGAGACTTAGGTTCTTTCCTTAAGTTTATGTTAAATGTGAAAAGACTTAGATTTTTCTTTCCTGTATTTACCTTATCTAACAACCCAACAGATTTTCTTTCCTCATTTTTATTTTCCATTTTGCCTTGTTTGGGAATGACAACTTCTAGGAATTTTATGTACAATTGGATATTTAACTACAGCCACTTCTGCAGCACTTTTTGTTTTGAAATTACTACAGGTGGCCAAGCTATGAAAGCTACTTGTTAAATATTTAGTATTTTCTTTTTGACTCTCAGAAGATACTTTTCAAAGATAAGATTAAAGAAAGCCAGTGGATTACAAGGAACTGATCAACTGGTGATGATAATCTTTAATTCACTTTTGACTGTGTGTATACCTACACACCCTATGGCTGTGAATTTCTTGATAAATATATTTAGAGATTCCCTAAAGGAGGCCGAAAAGTCACAAATCTTGCCCCTTTAAGCAGGATGGCACAACAGTATGAAAAGTAACCAGTTATCCCACCAGGAAAAACTTTGCCTCCTTTGAGGACAAACTACATACAGCTCCCACGTGGGGAAAAGTGATTTTCACAACCTAATGGAACCTGAAGCTCATGTGAAATCTGAGGTTGTCAGTATTGGAAGGAATCCTAGAAATGATCATTTTATAGTTGCAGAAATGGATATTCAGACAGTTGAAATGATTAGCCCACAAAGGCCAAATGCCTAGCCCCCCAATTCCTGGCCCAGTGTTCTCTCCATTTCACAATCATGCCAAACTTAAAAAAAAAAAAAAAAAAAAGTGATTATATCCATCCATGACTTCAACTTCACTAATTTCAGCCTGGTCACCCGTGATGTCACTTCCTCTTGTGAATGGGTGGTTGTTTTTTTTTTTTTTTTTTTTTCCTTCCCCTCTTGATCTAGCTATCTTCACTTTCCTGTAATACAACATTTTAGAGCTCACACTCTTATTTATGCCGGTATTTCCCACACCGACCCCTGTTTCCCAAAGGCACCAACAAGCCTCCAAGATGCCCTGACCCTCCTTTCCACTGGATTTCTTATTTCAAACAATTAACTGCCAACTAGGACCAGAATTAAAAGTAAAAGCGATTTCTTTTTAAAACACAAAGCATACACGGTAGTGTTGATCTCTTCCCCCGAAGGGCCTGCTTTAAAAAAAAAAAAAAAAAAAATTCGAATGCTGTGCGTTACACGCAGATGCTTTCTAGAGAAAAGAGCCCAGCGACAGCCCTGCCAGATAGGAAAGAGAGAGCTATTGTGGACTGTAGAGGGAGGCCAAGGAGAAGGTCTGGGATCCGACCTAAAACAAATATGGAGGTGAAAAGGCGTGAGGAGCTCCCTGGACCCAGCAGCCGGTGCCAAGCGGCGAGTCCCCGGCCCCCCGCGGTGGGCGCGGGAGAACGAGGGGCAGCGGGGCGGCACGTACCCCAGGACAATGATGGGGCCGGCGGGGCACCCCGAATCGCGCGCAGGGCGGACTCAACAAGTCTGGAGGGCGACGGATGCGCCGAGGGATGGCTGATCGGCTGCCAAGCGGCTCCTGCCGGCCTCGGGGCGGCCGCTGCCGCTTCCAGGACCCCCGGCCGCGCGGCGCCCGCCGGCCCGCCGACAGCCATTTGCATTACGCTCCCCTACGTGCCCCGACGTTCGCCCGGGACCCTGCCCGCCGCGAAGCCTCCCGCCCAGGCCCGCCGCCCGGCGGCGCGGGCTCCCGGGCGCGGGCGGCGGGCCTGCCCGGGCCGGAGCCGCCTTCGAAAGTGGGCGGAAGGATGGCCGCCCTCGCGCGGAGCGGGCGCGGCCCGGAGCCCTCGCCTGCGGCCCGGGCACGTCCTCCGCGCGCAGCGCCGCCCGCGCCTCCGGCCCCGGCCGCGGCCGGCTCGCGGCGCCGGGCCGCCTCCGGGCTCCCTCCGGGCGCCGGGCCGAGGCGGATGGGGCCGGGGGGCGGGCGCGCCATCATGAAGGGGAAAATGGTGGGCGGGCGGGCCCGCCCGCGGCCGCCGTACTCACCCGGGCCGGCCAGTGCGGGTAGCCCTTCATCTTGGCGAAGACCAGGTCGCCCGCCTTGTACTCGCGGGGCCGCGGACGCGCCATCCCGGCCGCTTCCTCCCTCGGTCGTCCTTGGTCGCCGCGAAGATGCCGGGAGGCCGCCCCCCCGCGGGCCGACGGACTGCGCCGCGCTCCCCGCGGGCCTCGAGCGGGCGGGCGGACGAGCGGCCGCTCCGACGAGGGGAAGCGGCGAGGCGGCGGCTGAGGCGAGGGGTGGGCGGGGGGCGCAGCGGGCCCGGCAAATCACGGCCCGGCAGCGGGGGAGGGGAGCCCCCGGCCGCTCGGCTCTCGCCCGCGCCGAGGTCCCCGCCGCCGCCGCGCGCTGCTCACAGGCGCCGCGTCGCCTGCCTCATGCCGCCGCCGCCGCCGCCGCCGCCGCCGCCGGCCTCCCTCCCGGGCTCCCGGGCGCGGCGCGAGCGCCGGGCCTCGCGCCTCCTCCGAATTCCTCCTCGGGCAGCGACCGCAAACACGATCTTATTATTGTTCTCGCGCGCGCTCAGCATCCCCCCCGCCCCGCTTCCCGCTCCCCTCCCCTCCCGCGCCGGCCGGTTAATTCCTAGGTACACGGCCGGCTTTCGCCCAGAAACCGAGCGCGCCAGCCCGGCTGCTCGGCGGGCGGGCGGGCGGGCGGGCGGTGGGCGCGTCCTCCCCCAGCACCGAGGCCCGCGCGGGGCGGGCGGGAGCGCCTACTCCGGAGGCCGCCCGCCGCCCGCTCTCTTTTGTTCTGGGCCCGGAGCTGCCCGCCGCAGCCCAGCCAATCACCACCTGGCCGCCCCCCTCCCCGCCGGCCCGCGCCACCTTGGGGGGCGCTTCCCCCCCACCGCGCCCCCGCCCGGCCGCCCCCTGCGGGCCGCGGCGGCGGGTGCTCGCGGTGAGTGGGGCACAAAGGCCGCTCCAGGCCTGGGGGACGGCTGCGGAGGGGACCCGCCGCCCCGGGCGTCCACCGGGCTGCTCGGAAGGAGCGCCGCTCCGGGGTCGGCGACCTTGACCGGGTCTCGCCCCGGGTCTGCCCTTGACACTGCGGTGTGACCCTCCTAGGGCAGGCTCTGCAGCGGCACAGCCGGGGTTCGAACGCGAGCCTCCGCGCCTCCGAGGTCCCCACGCGCTCATGCTTCTCCGTGCGTGGGTCCTTCCAGGCCTGTGGTTTTGTGGAAGGGGCTGAACTCTGGCAGGCCACTCGTTTCCAATCCTGCCAGCGGTTTGGACAACGTGTGTTGAATCTGTCTCACGAGGAGCGCTACTTCTTCACATCATCCCGAAGCCCGCCTTTGGGGAGTCAGCGGGCGCAGCTCCTGCGTGCAGGCGACTTTCTGGGGCCTTCATCTGGTCACAAGGCCAGTTCCTGTGTGTGTGTGTGTGTGTGTGTGTGTGTGTGTGTGTGTGTGTGTGTCTTCTAAGCTTCGCTGCTCTCCCCCCTTTGATCTATCAGCATCTGCCTCCCTCACTTGCCTTGTATAAGTGTGTGTGTGTGTGTGTGTGTGTGTGTGTGTGTGTGTAATACCAACCCCTGGTCCTGGTCTTCCAATAATGGGGCTCTCAAGTCCCCAGACGTCCTGAGGATTGTTTACAGTTCTTACTAGTGCTTGACGTCACCCCCTAATGCATGTCCTTGCCACTTGCGTCTGGTGATTCTCCTTTTCAGGTAGGACTCCTTCCTCATAGACCCTCCAGGCTCACCCATCCTGCTTTCTCACCCGAGACTAGCCTGGGTCCTTCGGCCTCAGCTATAGCAGCCAGCGTCAGTCCGTGCGGGCTGCTATAACAAAATACCATAGACGGGGTGACTTAAAAACAATGGAAAGTTCATTTCTCACCGTTCTGGAGGCTGGGGGGTTCCAAGAACAAGGCAGTTGTGGTTTTGGTGAGGGCCGGCTTCCCGGGTCACGGAGGACAGGGTTTTCAGCAGTGTTTGCCTGTGTCCTTTCACAGGTAGGAGTGGGAGGGGGGCATGGGAGCTCTCTGGGGTCCCTCTTGGAAGGGCACTAATCCCATTCCTGAGGGGTCCACACTCATGACCTGATCCCCTCCCGAAGGCCTCACTTCCAAATCCACCTGACGTTAGGATTTCGCGTATGGATTTCGAGAGGACACAAACATCAGTCCGTAGCAGTCTGCTCACGGGTCTCCCACTTCCACCACCTGTCATGTGTATGTGTCGTCGTCATCACACCCCGCTCATGAACCTGCGAACGGCTCCTATATCCTCTTATGTCAGACCTCAATCCCTCTGACTAGCTGCCAAAGCCCAGCTGCAGGCTGCCTGCCCCCTCTGGTCCAGCCTCCCCGTGGGCATAGGGTGGAAACAGGGGAGAGGAAAGGGATGAGAAACGAAAGGCTGTCCGTCGGAAACCAGAGGGAGACTCTCAGCCGAGAGGGGACATGATCCTGGTTTGGGTCCGGACACATTACTCTGGTGGCCAGCGTGGAGCTGAAGTTGAGGGATTGCTCTCACCAGGGGAGAGAGGGGCTGAGACCGGGCTGGCTGACTCACTGGGTGGTACCTGGGTAGGAAGGGCCAAACCAGCCATTCCCTGGTTTCTGGGTTAAGCAACAGGATGATTCGTTTTGGCTCTCCGTTGAGGAAATCCATGAAGAAAGGGCAATTTGGGGACGAGATGATGAGTGGTTTCGTGTGTTGAAATTTCCATGGGGCATCCAGAAAGGGACATTTAGTGAACAGCTGAATATAGAGTTTGGAGAAGGAAGTCAAGCAGACTATGGAGAATGCTGTGGCATCACTGTACGGGTGGTGGTTGAACCTGAGGGGGGTTCCCAGGAGACTGTCCAATAAGAAAGCAGTGGCGAAGGATCAGGGTCAGGCAGAACAACAACAACAGAAAGGGGAGTATAGTGCTGGAGGAATCAAAAAAAAAATCAAAGAATTTCCAAAAGGAGGGACATTTCCAGACAGCTGCCCAGGGGGAGGTCTAGTAGAATAAGAAAGGAGATGGATGCATCAAATCTGGTGACCGAGAAGTCTTTGGTGACCTTGGTGGGAACTGCTTCACTGAAATGGTGGAGGGGAAGAAACCAGGGAGCAGCGGCCTGAGATGCAAGAGAGGCGCGCAAATGTGGAGGCAGCGAGTGTAGACACCTCGTTCCCAGCAATGGAGAAGGATGAGCAAGAAGGCAAGAAGGGTGAACTGCTCTGTCGTGATCGGCTGCTTTTTAAAAGATTGGAGAAACAGGAGTGTATAATGTGGAGAAGCAGTCAATAGAGAGGATGAAGACGGAGGCCAAGGGGCCAGGGGTAACTGATAGGGCTTTTTTTTGAGAACGTAGAGATGTCTCCCAGCTCAGCGTTGGGTTCAGGGTTTCGTCTGAGCCTGGTCTGACCCCTCAGCACATGTCACGTGCCTGCCTCCCATGTCCTAAACAAGTCCACCTTAATAACAGCGGCACCGGGGATCCCCTGTGATCCCCTGACTGGTCCTCAGGAACCGCCTAATGTGCCTGGCTGAGAGCCCACCGTCTCCACGGCCAGGCTGAACGCAGGCCACCTTGTCAACACAACGCTGCTGGGGTTGAAGCACTACTCGGCTCTCACTGCAGACAGGGCTTTCAGACTGGTTCCTCTGCTTTTATGCAAAGGGCTGTTCCCTCGGCTATCCCAGAACAATGCTCTATTCAAATATTTAACAGATAATAAGTAACCCTTTAGAGATACCTCGAAGACCATTAAGAGTCTGCTGTGTTTTATTTTAGTTTGGCCCCAAGAGCTGGTCTCTTTGCTACGTCAAAATAGAACACATTAATTTTACTTTTGAAACTTGGAGAGAACTCCATTCACAAATGGTAATAATAACTTCCTTTGATCACTTTTGATTTTATTATTCTAAAATCCCTATGGGTTCCTACTTCGCCTTGCCCTTGGCACTTTGGTCTTTTTGCCATTCCTCTTCCCTCTCACACACATCCACACTTTTTGTTGACTCTGTCTGGTTTTCTTTTCTTTTCTTTTTTCCCCCTAAAGTTTATGTATTTATTTTGAGGGAGAGAGAGAGAGAGAGAGAGAACAAGCATGGGAGGGGCAGAGAGAAGGAGAGACAGAATCCTCAGCAGGCTTCACACCATCAATGTAGAGCTCAGTGTGGGGCTGGAACTCACAAACTGTAAGATCATGATCTGAGCCCAGATAAGAGTTGGAGACATAACCAACTGCGCCCCCCAGGCACCCGCCACTACCATGTCCGGTTTCACCTTCTCCTTTCATATCCTGACTCAGGTTCCTAACAAAACTCTAATAGTTTCATCAAAACAACCCCTCCTCCCCGGATTAACCCACTCTGTGGTGCTTGGATTTCCTGAAATTGATCCCTCCTCCCCAAATGTATAAGATGATACATATAAAGCTTCTGGAACAATCAATGCCTGGCAAATAGTATGTGCTCATTAAATGTTCGTTGATAGTGTTACCTTTGTTTTTGTTGTTAACATGGTGCAGTGGAAAGAATTGTGGAAAGGGAGTCGAGAAAAGTTGGTGTTCTCTCTCTCTCTCTCTCTCTCTCTCTCTCTCTCACACACACACACACACACACACACACACATCAGTTTGTCCCAGGGAGCTCCCTGGACTTAGCATCATAGTTCATTTCTATTACTTTTACCACTAGCGGCATCTTTCAGTCTCACCCTCCTTGAAAGAGAAAGGGCTGTAAGATATTGACACGTTCTTCAGAGTCAGGGAAAGGACTGTCATGTACTACTTGTGGGAGAGAGAGAACACCCACCTCGGTGTGAGCATCGGGCAATTCTAGGCTGGCCGAAGGAACCATAAAGTCAACATGGGCCATGATAGAACAGGGTAGGGGTCAGAGGTTGGGGCAGCCAGCATTGCTGGGTATAATAGCAGCAAATGCACTCGGATCACAGAAGAGGGGAGAAGGCAGCACCCCGATAATGATCCCAGAAGCATGTTCATGGTCTATGAAGATACTACTTGAGCCACTTGGGATCTTATCTGCAGAAGGAAAGGAGGATTGTTTCAGGTCCTGGGAATTCTCCTCCCTGAAACTCAGAGTCCACAGGTTGTTTCCATTGAGACTGCTCTCATCCTCACCCCTTCACTGTCCTGTCCTGGGCTGAGAACAAATTGGAGAATGTTAATTACTAGGGAGGGGATTCAGGATGTAGAAGGCCTTAAGGGCTTTTGCCTTTAATTTG